CCTAAAGAACTCTTTTGCATCCCACTTGAAATTTATGCCCACAGATGGCAAACCTTCCACTCTGCACAGCTGCTGGGGTTCCTCCAAGCTTACCTTCACAAGCTTCATCTCATGGCAAAAGTCCAACAGTGAAGGAAAATCAAACTCTGCGTCCTTTCTTTCGACTTCCCTTATGTTCTTCACAAAAAGGAGAGCGCTCAGCTTGGCTACTATGACAAATAGTCAACCTCAGTTAAGTTGCCATCACATTTGAAAGATTGGGACCATTTCCATTTCACTACACATCCTCCTACAGCTTGGATAAAAAGCAGTACTATGTTCCAGGATCCAGATATTTCAAAGACAACCTGATCCAATGAAAAAAAGCTTTATCCATGTCCCCTCCACTAATGGCAAATTCACAAAAATAGGCATTCAAGGATGGAACAAGCCTTTAGGAACATAAAACATGATCACATGTAGTATGATTTGCCTTTAGGGCCAGAAGGGGAAAGTGTTAGTTTACTCACTCAAAATTGAGAGCAATTAAACTGTAGTAAACAACAGTGACCAAATATGTCAGGAGATGAGTTTTAAAGAAATACTAAAAATAACTGACAATTGTTAATTGTAGGAAAATAAAGACAGGACATTAAAATCCGTGTACCCTTTTCACTGGAAAAAAAAAGCACATTTACTATCCTTCTGTTAGTGCTGCAGACAGACTAGGTAGATCCTTCTCTATACAGAGTATCATTCACTTAATCTGAATTTAAAATGCAGTACTTACATCTAATAAACTAATCATTGTTTTTTGCATTATTTAAATGAAGTTGATAACCCAACTCTCTGTTACTTGGAGCTTTTGCTTTGAATCAGAGTCAAAACATTATGCTAAAAAGAAAACCCCACTTCTGCCAGTTTTTTTGACAGAGAAGCAACTCACACAAACGTGGGAAGTTTTCCTTCCCCCTTCCCACTAACTTGGTTAACATGGTTCTTCACATGAGTCAAAGCCATATCCCTCTACAACCACACAATGCAAAAGGAGTTTTGGAAGCAAACTCGAATTTTAAAGGGTTACATATGTTCTAACCCAGGGCTATCTTTGCTATGAACACATCCACGGGTACTTGAGAAGTGAAAATCCCCTTTAAAACAGACATTCTCACTAAAGTACAATTGGGTCATCATGCCTTTTTGCTGCCTTGCATTTTGCTGCTCTCCTCCACCACAAAGCCATCTTGTCCTAAAACAGCTCCTGCAAAGTATTGAAAAATACCTGACAAGAATATAATGTACAATTTCAAGGACTCATTCAATTCCTATTATTTCAATATCAATAGAAACTATTTACCAATATTATCAGTACCTGCAAGTACTTAAAGTATTAAGTAAGACATTATTAGGAGTTGCCTGTACACCTCTCTTCCAATGAAACAGAGATCTTTATGTGGAAGCCAGGAGACTGCCCAGATAGTTTTTGTGAACAGAGTTACAGAAAAAATACACTGAAAGCACTCTTTATCATGGGGATATAAATCACACAGCTTACTTTGCAATTCTCAGCACATTTCAAGTGTTCTTTCTGATATACCTGACTTCAGAAGGAAGTCTTCACCTTTCAAGTCCCAAAGGAGTTACACAAAAAGTGGACAAAGCATATCTTTTTGAGAAGATGGCTTTGCTAGTTGCAAGTTCAAGCAAAATGGGAAAAAAAAATATATGTACCTTGCTCTTCTGAAATCCAAACCTGCAACACTGCACTTCCTCACTCATATTCCTCACTTTCATGAACAGGTCCATGAAAATCAACAGCACTGAACTCTCACATGCTAAGTGGTTGCTGAATTGAGAAGGTAAAAAAACTCCCTTTATTCAGCACAGCACGAGGAACTCCATTCAACTTCCCTTTGAAGTTGGTCAAGAGTACTCCCACTAGCTTTCCAAGAGCTGAGTCTGACTACAACTAGAGTAAATATTTATTCCTGAATACTTACTATTTCCTCATTTGTTAACCCCAATGTGAAAAATCACACAAAGAATGAAAAGTGAATTGTCTAAATTCTGTATAAATATTCAGTATAAATTGTGTATAAAACACAAGAAGAGTGAGACACCAGTCATAAAGTTTTTACTTGACATTTTTTTCAGTTATAAGGCCAACAGGTAGTTCTTCCTTATTCTTGAGGAAAAGAAAAAACAAGGCTGAAAAAAAATTACAGCTTTACTATCATCCTACTACTGGCTCCCAGAAAATACAAAAGGATCAGAAGGCTCTATGAAAAACATGAGTGTAACAACTGAATGATAAAAAACAGTGTAAATGCAAAAGGATGTAAAATGAAAAGACTAACTAAATTAGAAAGTTTTAGCGAATGGCCTACATTTCTACAGGCTGCCTATCTAGACAATTTATTTTCTTCACCTGCATTTTGCTGAAGCTCCAATTAGAAAGTCTGCTATACATATAGAAAATCACATTCAGAAAAACTCTTCAAGAAGCTTTGCAGTCCTGAAGCCACTTTGTACCAGAAAGAAATTAATAAAACTATAAACTGAAGGTATGAGAAACCCAGTTAAGATGCCTGGCATTACATCTTCTAAATAGAAAGGGTAAAATTACTCACTCCGTTTTTCAACATCCCTTTCATGCAAGTAAACTTTTGGGAACAGTGCAAAGAGGGAGGAAAGAAAAAAATTAATGGAGTCAGGCAGACTGTAACAAAACAGTCCTGGGAAAAGGGTTCTAGCAGGTACTGCTGCCTTACCAGTGGATTGCAAATACCAAATTTCAATTCCCTTCTGAAACAACAAACACATCCATAGAGCTACAATAAATGCAAACACTACACTACACCACACAACGCAACAGCAGGTGTGCACTATTTATATATACAAATCCAACAGATGAACAAAACATCTTCAAGAGAAATGCACAGTAACACATCACAAAAAGAAAGTGCAGATGGTACAGGAACAGAAGCGGCTATTTGTCTCTGGACAGTTCTAGTTTCACTGCTGCTCTATAGGCTTATGTTTTTCAGTAGGCTTACATTCTTCACAAAGGAGAAGACCAAGAAATTAATCTTTTTTTTTTTTCCCTTCAAATCTTGGTTTCCCAAATTAAACTGGCTGTTTCACAAACCTGAAAGTTGCTCCTCATTGTGGCAGCAGGGAGATTTTGATCACTAAATTTATGTATAGACATGTTTGGTACTATGTAAAAGTAAATTAACTCACCCAGATGTTCAGATAAGTATAGAAGTACATAAATGCCACTGGAGCTATGGCATTAACACTGAAACATTTAATCTTGTAAATCTCAAAGCAACAGGAATTGTTGTTTTGATAATTAATTGATCCATTTACATATTTTTCCTGTTTGGTGTAACATAGCTGTATGGCCAAAACCAAAAGCATACAGTCCTTTACTAGAAGGTGCTTATGCACCTAAAGCACACTTGTTACCTAGCACTCCTCTGACAAAAACCAGTTGAACAATCCCTAGCTGTACCCACCTTTTGCTTATCACTTTGTGCATTACATTTTCTTACTTCCCACCTTAACACTCATACACATTATTTATTCTTCACTTCCTTCAGAAAGCTGAGTGTGATGTTGAGTGTTCAAAGCAAAGACGATGTTTAAAAAAATTCTACCAATAAGACAAAATGAGTATCAGACAGAGCCACACATATATCCTGAATGCACCTTTCCAAGTTGTATTATTCACTGAATTCAACAACCCCCAGCCAAATGATCCCTACTGGCAACAATATTCTGCCGACTTCCATTAAATGCAGACCAAGAAAAGCATATTGCTCCCAAACACAGGCTCCTTCTCTCCTAGTTCAAAGAATGAAGGAATAAACCATTACTACAGGTTGTTAGCAATTTGATTGAAAAGATAGAAAGACAATTTTTCAGCAAGTGATTTGTGTTGGGCTCTCTGCCCTGCCAGCACCCCCTGTGTTCTGCAAGCTCAGCTGAAGTGGCTGCAGCCCCAGAAATACGTGACAGCGTTACTTACTGCTGCCGAGAAGGGTACGTGTACCAAATGTAACAAACTGGGTTACCAGAACAGCTAGGCTACACACCCAGGTGACACAAATTCCCTCCCTTCTCCTTGTCAGAGTGCTCTCAGGTATCCTGACACTACTGAAGGGAAATAGCATTTACACAGTACAGTCTACTGCTGCAGCAGCTCATGTGCTAACACACCTGCAAGTCACCGTGAGGGGCCAAGGGCTCCAGGCTGGAGTCGCCAGCTGTAACATTAAACATTGCATCCCTGTGACCCACTACAAAGTAGGGGTGTGGGCAGATTCTCAATTTTCAGCAGTAGTTTTTCAGGCTCATCTAGGATCAGCTCCCAAGCACTGAATGATGGGGAACAGGGCTGTGGATGGGAGGAAAGTTTCCAAATGCCTCCTGCTATCAGTCCCATTCAGAAGAACCCAAAAAATACTAACCTGTGAGCTACAAAGAGCTCGTGAACTAATACATTTTGGAATATGTACAGAAAACGAAAATGTTTCCCTTTTGCACAGAGCTCTGCAACGGCTTGAGTACAAAATGGCACTATGATAACACTATCTGAAGCGGTCCGACTTCAGAGAACGCATTAGAGGAACACTAAGCTGCCTCTTCGACCAAGTCTCTCTTTTACCACTGACATTCCAATGGGAGGAGCAGAACAGGATTTGAGAGACAGCCACCGTGGAACGAACACACTGAACCACCTTGCCAGCATTCCCGCAATCGGGAGGTCTCTCTCGGAGCAAAGTGTTGATTTTTCCGGTGCGCCTGAAACCCTCCAACACAACTTCTGCCATTTAAAGCCCCGTGGAGCGGCAGAGTGCGGACAGGCTCCTGCGGCCGCGGCAGGACAGCAGGACACGGGGTTCGGGTGGCGCGGCGTTCCACGGCGGAGCGAGAGCCGCGCCACCCCCGCCCGCCGCCGGGCAGGGAGGGCGCGCCGCGGCCACCGCCCGCTCCGCTCCCCTCCCGCTACTCACCCCCGCGACCGGCCGGACCGGAGCGACGGCGGCGAAGTCCGGCGGCGGCAGGCGGCGGCGGCCGCGGCACATCAGGACGATCAGGGTGCCCAGCGCGGCGGCAGCGGCGGCGCAGCCCACGTAGAGGGCGAGGCGGAGCAGCAGCAGCGCCAGGCACGGCGGCCCGCCGCCCCCCGCCTCGGCCCGTTCCTGCCCCAGGTGGACGACAGACACAGCCAGGAGCCCCAGTCCCGCCGCCAGCACGAAGCGGGATGAGCCGGGATCCTCGTCCTCCTCGTCTTCCGCCGCCTCCTCCTCGCCGCCGCCGACCACAGCGGCGGCCGCCGGGGCGCTGCGGCGGCGCGTCTCGCCACCGGGGCCGTGCGAGCCCAGCGGGCCGGGGGCGGCGGCCCCCGCCGCCTCGGGCTGCCCGGCCGTGATGCTAGCGCTGTCGGCACCGGGGAACATGCTGCTCCTGGCGCCGCTGGGAGCAAGCGCATCTCCCGCCGCGGCAGCCCCCTGCGAAGGTCGCCGCTCCCGGGCCCCCCCCTCTCCTCCGCCGCCGCCGCCGCCTCCTTCGCCGCCCGCCGCCGCCACTGGCACCGCTGCGGCCGCCGGGGGAGCCGGAGCTCATGCCCAGCGGCAGGAGGGTGCGCGGCGGCCGGGCCGCTTTCTGGCGGCAGCGCTGCCCCGCGCTGGGCGGCGGGAGCCGAGCGCCGTGGCAGCAGCCGGGAGGCCCCGCCGCGCCGCTCGGTGTCCGGCCGGGGAGGGGGCGGAGGCGGGGGCGGTGCCTGCCGGGCGGGCGGGCCCGGGACATGTGCGCCTGCCGCACCGCCCCACGGCGGGGCCCGGCCCGGCTGCATCGCTTGGTATCGTGTTGTGACCCGGGTCCTCCGCTGGGGCGGGGTTGGAGGCGTCCCCAGGCACTGGCCAGGAAACGGGTACGCTCGGACGAAGCGAGGGGAGTCCTCGCCGGCTGCAGTGCGGAGCTTGGCTCCGCGGAAAGCTACGGGAAAGCCTCTCAGCCGCGGGGACTGTAGCTCGGAGGGCGGCGGCTAGGCCCAGAGGGACCCGGCATGATCAGACCGGGTCATCGAGGCCCTAGCCAGAGCTCAGGACAAAAGCCTTGGCGTGCGGCATCTCAGAGATCCGGACACCCTCCTGAGTCTGGGCGGTATGCACCCCTCTGCCTGCTCCCCTCTGAACAGCCAAAGGAAGTCATAAATTACTGGAGTTCAGAAATAAAAGGTTGATTGAACAGTGATGAAAATTGTACAACAGTGATTCTAAAAAAAACCACAGCCTCACCACCCCAAGAGAAGCATGCCAGCCCTCCTGTCAGTACCCTCCCTCCGTTGTATGTTTTATATCTGTTTGTGGTAGATCTGAGAAAAAGTTCCTGGAATGGCACAAGGCTTGCCATATTTCAGCTGTGCTTGGGACACATGCTCATCTTGCCATACGTGTGGCACGGCTACAGCTCCACCAAATTTGTCAGCTTATAGCAGCTACTGAGCACAGCTGGATTGGGAGGCCTTGATCTCATCAGAGTGTTGTCTGCAAAAATCAGCTTCATTACCCAGTGTGCAACAAGCCAATAATTACACACTCAAGAGAGACATTAACTACTTATTTCAGAGTTGTGCAAGCTTGGGTGCTCAGTGGTATTCAACAAATCAAGCATACCAAATATTAAAACTTTTTACTATTTATACATCTTAGCAAACAAAGGAATTAGTGTTCATTGTCTACAAGTTTCATAGTTCTCTTATTAATTAGTATCGTATCCTCCACTGGCCAATGATTCTCTCGTTTCCTGTGCTAATCAGTCTGTATGCTCAGCCTTCTTTTGATTTGGTGAATTTCTTGGGTCAGTGGTCCTTGAATCAGTGGTTGTGATCTCCCTCTGCAGGAACTACCTTTTATCAAATTTGAACTGATTTCAGCACAATTGCTGAGTTAGGTTTATTAGTTTCTTCCTCACCTTGGGAGTTCTGCCAAATGTCCATGTGTCCCATAAATTCTTCATTCTTTGTGCCCACCATCAGTGGTACATCCTTTTCCCCAAGATTTGTTAACCTCCCCCTAGGTCTGAGATCACTGAAGCACGTCAAACCCTAAACATTAACAATGCAATTCCACCAACAAGTAATTTGTTTTTCTAACACATGGACATCACTTAGAGCTTGCTTTTTAGCTATCTGTTTCAAGGATTACATCTCGCTTCTTCTTGATTAGTCTTGAAAGTATACAAAGATCAAACATAAAAGAGCATCCTTTCTTAAGAGAATTTTTACATATTCCACATTTTACAGCCACACTATGCAAAAGTGGATTTACAGGCATTTGCAAATGGGCTTCATTTTAAGAATAGATACCTGTAAACTCTATAGAAGCATTTAGAGATAGAAGTGTATTGGTGAGCAGCTGGTAAGATTGCCACTGCTCTGTCAGTTGAAGTGTATTAAAAAAAAAAAAAAAAAAAAAAAAAAAAAATTGCACTGCTCTGTCAGTTGAAGTGTAAAAAAAAAAAAAAAAGCCCTGAATTTTACATTTTAAACACAGTTATTATTGCAGAGGTTGAAGTAGTGATTTATTTATTTGTGCTCTCTAAAAAAAAGTTACTTCTGTGAAATGAACTCCACTACTCTACTAGCCAGATGAAGAAAAGAAACAAATACCAATGCTCTGTTCTTGTGAGTATTTACATTTCCTTATAACTCCTACAGTGCAATAAAGTAGCATCTATAAAACCAGACACCCAACTTCCCTGAGTGTCTGCAATGCTAAGCAAGCCAGGACACTGAGCATGAATAGTGCAGGTGTCCAAAAGTCTGTTAGAGCCCTGGAACAGCACTTGTAATAGGGATTTGCGTGTCAGTTCATGGTGCAGAACTGCAATGGAAACGGGCACAGAACAGCATGGAGCTAGTCAGGGTTCTGAGTTACAACAAATGTTTTACTCCATTACAATATTTTCTAAGCTGTTTCTAACCTAACTCAGAGTGTCTCATGGTCTGGTGTCCATATATACTTGCCTGTGTGTATCAGAGGTTTGCAAAACAATGCATTTCCTCTCAAAATCACAAAAAAGTGGTTATGAAGTGATTTTAGGGCCCCTGTTGGTCACTTATCAAAGGAGACACTGATCCTTAATCTGATCTAAAGTCCTTACAGTAACTTAGTCCTTAGTAAGATAAAATATATAATTCTATTACAGTTTGTTCTATTTAGTGGATATTAAATTGCACAAAATCCTTTTAAATGCTAGTTCAGACAATTCACAGAGTACCCAAAATCGATTATTTAAGTAACATGTCTAATGTGATTAAAGATAAAAATCATCATATTATAACAGTGAAAATACTATTGCAATGGCAGTCCTTTCCCATGTGAATTACTATGTGGTAAAACATCCTGATGATTCACTGAAGGGCTTTGGGACCAGGGTTTTTTTCAATATATAAGACCATTAAAATCAGCAGAAATTCTTGCAGAGTCTGAAAGCTTTTGGATAAGGCCCAACATGCCAGAAGGTTTCTTATAAAGTTATTATATTCTCATCAGGTAGAAAATAGAAAACAAATATCCATTTCCCAGCGCACACTTTAGTCATCAAAGACTTCAGAATATCCAGGACTTTGGACTAAGTTCAAGATCTGCTCTGGGATCTTTATTAAGACCCACGCAAGAAACCAGACAGAGACCTACTGCAAATGCATTCAGGAAACTGCCTGGGCCACTGTCAAAGCTACTTAAGGGAATTGAATTTTTAAATTAACCTGAAGCAAAGCATATAATGTTGATAGTCCTGTGTAAACAGAGAGTATTTTCTTACAGTATTAATTCTCAGAAGTGGAGAGGAAGATAAAAAAACCAAACCTACCTGCAATAACAATTTAGTCCTGCAGTGCTTATGCATAAAGCCACTTTTTGTCTGAATGAGTAATCCCACCTATTTTAGCTAGGATTTACACATCATACCCTGAATTAGATATGTCTAAATCAACTCAAGTGTGTATCCATAGAGCTAGAAGAAGATTTGATTATTTTTATTTTAGCTCTTAATAAGTTTCTATTAATTTTCAACCTGAGGAACAATTCCTAATATTTTAGATGATATCCTAGCTCTACTGAAGTTAATAGCAATTTTCAAGTTTACCTAACTGTTATTTGAACTTCCCCTTTTGTACTTTAAAAATTACTTTTCTGTACAAGACAAAAGGACTTCAGTGAGGTCAGTTTTCTGAACTGGGGATTACTATAGGCTCTTTCTCTAACTAGTTAGTCATAGAACTAGTTTATGAGAAAAGAGATTCAAATTCTACCTTATCCAAGCATTACAGCAAATATCTTTCCTACAGAGATAAGACAATTACTTATTTTAAAAGATAAATGATGTCTGATTTGGGGGAGGATTCAGCATCTTCACTGTTTTCCTCTGAGCTAGAAGTATAATTTATCTTTGTAACATAACCTAGAAAAAACCTCACTGATTTGAACAGTTTTGCAGCTGCCTTTAGTGACAATTGTTCAACTTGCCCTTCACAGTACTGCAAACTTTAAACTTCAATGAATTTGCACTTTCAAAAGTTTAGGCAAGATTAAAATTAATACTTTTCCTGTAGGCTTTTTCACATTTGATTTCTGTTTTGTCAGCCTTTCTAGCACTTCCATTGCTATAAAAGGACTAAAACAACTTATGACTTCTCAATTAAAACAAAAAAATGTTACATTATAGGCAAAAAAAGAGGTCTGTATAGTGCTTGTGTAGTTTATATTTTTAGCATACTTACAACTTTGAATTAATTACTTGCTTTTTTATAACTGCTGTGGTGCTGCATTGCAGTTACAGTCATACTAGGAGTTTATAGAAATTTCTAAGGTTCAGAGCACAAAACCAAGAACTGCTTGTGAACTTGTAAACCTGGTGATAAACCAGGAAAACCTGGATAACACTGATAGAAGCAATCACAGGAATCCTAGAGCAAGAGAAATGGAAATTGGATGTTATACTTCTCAGTATCTTAAATGTATAAAATATGTAAGTTGCACTAATATTACCTGATTTCAATTTTTGCTACACCTTTTAAGACAGTGGTGTTGTATTTTGCATATTTGCAGTCGGGAATTTGACAGACAGGAAAAAATGACAAAAGCAAAAGCACCTATTCAGTGTCCAATGTCAGGAACCTCACACGGAGAGGTCAGCAAAGGCTCAGCATTTTGTAGCATGTTTTCCAAGTACGGTTTCCATTAATTTCAGCTGCAGTTGTCACTATTCAACATTTCAACAGTGAACTGAGAGAGGTGCCAGAAAAATAAGAAGGAAACACAGGACAAGCATAAAAATTTAGTCAATGTAGTTTGTGGAACCTGCATTAAACATTGTATAGCACAAGAGGACTTGACTCTGGTTAACTTAGACATGTTCAGTTGTATTATTCAAGAGATTTCTTTATTTTCTTGTATTGTTCTGACACATTTGCTACATGTATTTTTAAAAATGTGTATGTATGTGTGTGTATGCACCCATACATACGTGCCTATGTGTATGTGCCAAGTGAAATAGGACAATATATACAACAGTTGATTTGGCTGCACA